CGCAGCCCCCGCTCGCTCCTGCCCGCCGCGCGCGGCACACGGACCGGCCTCGGCAGCTCGGGGTGTCGGGAGCTGCTCCGTGTTGTGCCACGAGCTGCCGGGGCTGGAGAGGCTCTTGGACACGGAGGGCTCCGTGGGGCCCTGTTGCCTCGTGTGCCGGCTGAACATGGAAGCCTGGTTCTCACCACGCCGGGGAACTCACCCCACGCCGGGGAAACATTGGGCAAAACCAGCGTGAGAGCACCTCCAAAGAGGGCCCAGCGCCAAAGGCCCCGTCAAGGCGGTTCTCCTGGATATCTCTGGTGGAGAAGACAGCTTGGAAGCAGGGGTGATTGCGACAGGGGAGCAAGTTAAGGCAGCTCTTGATATGGCCTGAGGTCAGGCTGAGGGGGTTCCTGGCGAGCTTTGGGAGGCTCTATTTACTCTAGGCTGCCGCACGGTCCGGAGCGCTCCCAGGCACAGCCATTCCGACACGGCTACGTTTCCGCATGGCAGCATGGCGGGACAAGGTGCCACTCACAGGGCTGGTGCAGGGGACAGTGGGGACACCCCGAGGCCTTGCTGCCTTCCTCATTGTGAACCGAACCCATCTCCCCAGGCTCTGTCTGGAAAGCCAAAGGTGGTGGTAGGAGGGTGACAGTTACCAGTGACAGCAGGTGCCACCCCATAACCCACCGGACTGTCCTGCAAGGAGTCGGGTCACCCCTCCGTGCACCTGGGGAATGGGGCAGCAGGTGCAGGGAGAGGTGGCACCCACCTTCCTCTGGAGACGAGGACACTGGGGGACACGGCGAGGGGGATCCAGGGAGCACGTGAGCAGGTAGACGGCAAAGCCGCATGCAGGGAAAGGAAGCAGAAACCACACGGCTTTCTGCCTGCTCCTCCCTGAAGATGGGACACGGAGCGGGCAGCAGGATGCAAGACCCCATGGCAAGGGCTGAAAGGGGGCCACACAGCCCTGGCCTAAATTGCCACAGCTCCACTGGGGGCAAGGGCACGAAGCAGATCCCTCTGCCTGCGTCAGCGCTCGACGTGACCCCTCTGCAACGCGTGGAGCTGCACGTCCTCACGGGCATCGCTGCACTTCTTCCGTTACAAGCATCCCTTTCCAGGCAGGATTACATTTTGTCTGGGAAATAAAGTACGAAAAGAGCAACATTGCTAGAATTATTCATCATATTATGCAATTCCTTGAAAAAGAAAAAGCAATTTCCTGAACTAAACGTTATCCTGGCAGAACTGCTGAGCACAGACCACGCTGACAGCATTTATTGGATGCGGGAAACCATAAGTGGTGCCTTACCTGAGCCACCCGTTACGGGAAAGGAACACTGGGGATGGTGCAAAATAAACTCACTGTTGCAATGCTCCATCTACCACCGAAAGGGCTGGGAAAAAAGCAGGGGGAAAAAGTAGCTTTTGCAATGCAGAGCAAGTCCTCAGCAACACGCGACTTGCACAACTGAAAAGCAGGCGGCAGGAGGACAGGACTGCCCGGCTGCAAGGAGGGAAAACACCCTGTGCCCCAGCCCCACGCAGGAGCAGCTTTGGGGATTCTTCCTCTCCCTCTCTACTTCACAAGTGACCCTAGGGGCTCTTCAGCTTTTTTCCCCCGCCCTGGCTTTACCAGAAAACTCATGGTGATGACACATGACTCAGAGCTGCGGGTTTGGAGATTTACTGTGTTGTATTTGGAAAAGCCCAGTATTTATGGGGGAGAGACTTCGCCTGCGGGGCGGCCTGACACAGGTTTTCCACACAGAGAAGGCGCCCGCTGCGGAATTCCGCGGGTACGAGCGCCGTGCGCTGCCACCGCAGCCCGCCCGCGCCGTGCGCCCAGCACAGCGCACTTATGGGCGCCCCGTCCCCTCGGCCGGGCACCGACCGGAC